TCTACAGAAACAGGGCGCGCTGGACGACCCGCGACCAGGGGCCCTGCAAAGAACAAGCACTCTACCGGCAGACCTACCCTCCCTTCCATTTATGGCACCAAGTGCTCCCAATGTGTTGCAGACTCCACAGCAGCCAACAAAACTAGCGTCGGTCAGCGAGGTTTCTTCGCAGCACGAGGAAGACCACGGTCAGGCGTCGAAAGCAGATGCTGGCATGGAAGTTTACCATGCTTATGTAGCCCCTGTTCCCCTTGGAAGCGCCGACCTGCCACCGCCTCTGAAGCTTGGTCGCAAGTCCATCGGTTCTGAAAACCAGCCTACCACATCGAACCCATCTGCAGTTGACCCTCAGAAATCCGCAGACATGCTTACATCTGCGCCTGAAAACCTCAGTACGGCTAGCCGAGATCCGAACGCGCGTCCCCAAACTAAACCCACCGATGATGCCTCTCAAAAGCCTGCGTCGTTCCAAATGTATTCATATGAGCAACCGCAAATCGAGACGCCACAAGTTCAGAAGCCCAATGCAGTCGACACTCCCCCGTCAACTTCTTTTAGTGTCATGTCGGAGCCATTCATAGAACAGCCACCTCATTCAACGGTTCCTTCAGAAACATCACCAGAGAAGCCTGCGGCTACTACCCAACCTTCAGGACCTGCATCAAGTGTGCCTTCGTCGGACCCCGAGGTGGTGCCGGGGTCTCATTGCACGCCATCGGGCCAGCCAAGGCAGCCCGTCCAGCCGCCAGTTGTCTCTACTGGTGGACCTCCCCAGCATCAGGGCAGTCACCCACTGGCCTCTCAGTTCTCGATAATCAACCCCGAGGCTCAGGTTCTTCCGCTGCGAACAGGAACGCCCCATGTCGTTGGTGCTGGCTCGCAGAGTCGTCCACTATCGCCCCCTGGCCAGCAGGATCGTCAGAGTCCGAGACCGACCTCAAATGGACAGCCTATCGCTTCGTCCGCCACTGCGGCTCATCGTATGTCAATAAGCGGACCTCTCCCTGGCTCTCAACAGGCTATACGGCCGCCGCCAAGCCGTCAGAGTCCAGCCCAAACCCAGAGCCCAAGTCAGAGCCCACATTTCACACAAGGACAATCGCGGCCTTCTTCGCCCGCTGTTCACCGACAATCTATATCAGGTGCTCCTCCGGGCGCCCAACCTCAGGGACAAGCAGGTATGCAACAGCCACAAGGAATGGGGCCACAACCCGGCATGGCAATGCGACCAGGCATGGGACAACCGGGCATGCCCCATCAGCCCGGTGTACAGCAACAGTATCCAGGTATGGGACCACCCCCTCAACCAGGTATGCCGCATCAACCTGGCATGCAGCAACAGCGGCCAGGCATGACTCAGCAGCCCGGCATGGCACCACAGCCTGGCTTTCATCATCAGCCCATGCAGTCACAGGCTGGGCAACAACGTCCTCCGCAGCAGATGGAACCTAATCGGACACAAAGCCCTGCCATGCAGCGACCACCCTCGGTTTCGGGACCGGCTGGTATGATGGGTCCTCCTCAGCAGCGCCCCATGTCAGGTCCAGGAGGCCCAGGCCCAGGCGCAGGTCGCGGGGCAGCCGCATCGCACCCTCCAGGCCCTCAAGACACGCAACGACCGCCATCTGCGTCGCCTCGCAATTCCATCTCTCAACCACCCCCGACTTCAACCCCTACACCACCGTCAGGACAGAACCAGCGACCTCCACCAGGAACCCCGATGCCAGGACAGCCAGGGCAACAAAGACCAGGGCAACCCAACCAAAGACCCATGTCAGGGCAGTTTTCCGCCATGGGAGGTAGACGCCCGACGCCCCCAGCTCAAGGACAACCTTTGCCTGGCCAGCCATTTCAGTCGCACGGTAGAGTACCTTCATCTTCGGGACCTTCTGGCATGTCGACTCCCACGCCTGTGCCAGTACCTGTACCCGTACCCGTACCAGTGCCTTCCCAGCCCCAGGGGCCAGCACAAGCTTCCCAGCCCCAGGGGCCAGCACAAGCTTCCCCGTCGGCTTCTGGGCCAAACCCCGTGCCATCTTCTCCGTCTAGCCAGCCTCCTCAACCGGCACCACCTCCTGGTACCCAGCCAGGGCAGCGCCGTATGCCTTCAGGGCAGCAGCGCCCTAGCGCTCAACCGGCACCGTCGCAGGGTCCTCAAGGCCCGACCGGACCTGGCCAACAACAGCAGCAGCCTTCTCCTACGGCTCTTCACCAGCCAACTCCGATTCATCAGCCAACTGTCCCTCCTGCAGTAAAAATGCCAGTGCCTTCAACCCCACAACCTCTTGGTGGTGGCCCTCAACAACAGCCATCTTCCCAATCCCAGCAGCCAGGCTCAACGCCTCCCCAATCAGCGCCACCAGTACAACAGATGATGCCACCATCCGGACAACAACATCCAGCAGCTCCACACAGGTTTTCCGTGTCGTCTCCCGCTCCACCGCATCCTATGAGCCCACCGCCCATACAACCACAACAGCAGCAACAACAGCAACAACAGCACCCGATGCCGCCACATGGCCATGCAAACAGCGCACCACCCCAGATGCAGCAGCCGACCGGTCAGCATCCGGGTCAGTCGCCCACTCAGTCACCCGCTCCGGGAGCGCCAGGAGCACCTCCAGGATCACAGCCTCAATACATCCCTGCAACATACATACCTTGGTTACCTTCTCAGCCCGGCATGGGACAGCCCGGAATAGCTTCTCAGCCCGGAATGACACCACCACCCAATATGCCACAGCAACCTGGCATACCTCAGCAAAGTCAACCGCAGCAGCGACCAGGTATGCCACAACCTGGTGGCCCTCCTCAAGGCGGCATGCCACAACCACAGCAGCAACAAGCGGGACAGCAGCCACAGCAGCAACAAGCGGGACAGCAGCCACCAGGTATGATGCGTCAGCCAGGTATGCCACCACAGTCCGGTGCACCACAGCAACCAGGTATGTCGCAACCAGGCATGTCGCAGCCAGGCATGTCGCAGCCAGGCATGTCGCAACCTGGCCCACCTCCTCAGCCAGGGATGGCGCCGGGAATGCCGCAGCAGCAAGGCGGTATGCCTCCTCCGCAGGGTATGGTACCACAACCAGGGGCGCCTCAGCAGCAGCACCAACAGCAACAGCAACAGCAGCAGCAACAGCAGCAGCAAGGCCCGCCGCACTTTGGAATGCCTCAGCCTGGGATGCCACCACAGCCAGGCATGCCACAACAGCAACCAGGAGCTATGCAGCAGCAACACATGCCTCCCCAGCCTGGTAATGGACCGCAACCAAACATGGGACCGCAGCCTGGTACACAGCACCAAGGCCCGCCGCAGCAGTTTGGCATGCCTCAGCCGGGGCCACTGCAGCAGCAAGGTATACCCCCTCAACCTGGAATGGCACCGCACCCGGGTATGCAGCAGCAACAACCGGGTATGATGCGGCAACCAGGCATGCCACCCCAGCAGCCTGGCATGGGGCCTCAGCCCGGAATGCCCCAACCCGGTATGCAACAACAGCAACCGGTGATAATTCAGCAGCAAGGCATGCCCACTCAGCCCGTTATGCCTCCTCAATTCGTCATGATGGCACCACAGTCAGGTTTCCAACAACCGGGTATGCCGCTTCAGCCAGGCATGCAACCTCAGCAGGGCATGATGATGCAGCAGCAACAGCAGCAACCAGGTCCTCCACCGCAGCTTCAAACACAACAGATACAAGGGCAGCAGCAGCAGCAGCAGCAGCAGCAGAATCAGGGTGTACAGGCTCCTCAAAGCGCGACGGTGGCTGCCCCAACTCAGCCAAACTGGCTAGGCAAGCTGTGGAAGAACGAGGCAGTCAAGAAAACGACCTTTGCCATCGGAGGCGCCTTTTTGGCGGAAAGCATGGGAGCCAACGCCGCCTCTGGTGCTCGGATCGGGTCAAACATCTTTGATACGACCCGTAAGAACAGCAAGCTGCAGAAGCCACCCGGAGCACCGCAAGGTCAGCAGCCGCGGCCTCCTGGTGCACCGCAGACAGCTCCGCCCCAAATGCAAGGTCTTCCGAACCCCAACCAGCAAGGCCAGATGATGATGCAACCTGGTCAGCAGCCGCAGCAAGGAATGGTAGGACACCCAGGCACATGGCCACAGCCGCAGCAGCAGCAGTTTCAACAACATATGGCACAACAAGGTATGGTTGTGGGCAGTGCTGTGCTTGTTAACACGCTCATGCAACAGCCTGGTCAAGGTCAGCAACAACAGTACAGGCCACCGCAACAGCAACAGCAACGCCCACCACAGCAAAGGCCACCACAGCAACAGCGCCCTAACAACACTGGTCGGCAACCACAGCAGCCGCAGAATATGGGTGCTGCTCTTGTTGCCGGCTTGTTTGGGGGTGGTGGATTGGGTATGCAGATGAGGCACCATCACTCCAACTCTGGAGGCGGTGGCGGAGGCGATGGTGGAGGTGGTGGAGGAGGAGATGATGGCGGCGATAATGTGAGCATGTACTCTGGTATGGACGACAATACTATGGTGACAGACGATTCTGCCTCATTTATGGATACTTCTTCTGTAGGAGGTGGCGGGTGGGGGGATTCCGGGGGGTATGATGGGTCTGGATGGGGGGATGATGATAGTTTCTAATAGTGGTTAGTACAGGGCATTTCATATCACATTTCCAGTTGATTTGGGTTGTTTTTAGATAGTATGCATTATATATACCACCGGGAATGAATGGTAGAGAGAGATGTGTGTGTGTTTTGTTATGAGGTCTCTTTGTTATTAGTAGCATAATATACCCCCCCTTCAATTTTATAGCATAGCGTTTTGCATTCAAGATTACATAGCTTGAAATTTGGACAAGAGATACTTATTCGGCTATTAATGAGGGAAAAAAAGGGAGTTAAATATCACGAATGAGTGTTAAATTCGAGATCATGTGTGTCTCATCTCACTCAATATGATGAGATGACAGCAAAAAAAACCAAAAAACCAAAAAGAGCGCGATGCCGTTGCCGCGAAATAGGAGTGCCCACAATCAGAATCGAACTGATGACCTTATCATTATCCTAGCACGACCTCGAAGGGAGAGAACTCCCCGGAAGTCGCTTTTTTACTAGTGATACGCTATACCACTTAGCCATGCGGGCTTCTTGTATGTACGGTACATATGCGTTTTCATTCATCAATGCATCTAGATGCCAGGTGAACGCATGCGTCGGGGAGTGTGCAGGTGAGAAAAGAACGCATACGAAAAGGGTGCATGATTGATGCCACAACGAACAATTTTTTTTATTGAATCAATTGAGGTTAGTTTCGAAAAGGTTGGTTGGTGGTCAAGGTGTTGGTTTATTGAAGATTTTACTTTCGCGAAACTCGATGTCATAATAGACTTGTAAGTTTAAGTGCAATCGTTGCGTATTAGCTAGCTATCACGGTTTGAGCCATGGGCGTTCTTTTGGCTATATACCGACTGAGGAGGGAAAGGGAATGTAGATTTCAATGGCCTGGGTGCAATGGGAGGTAGAACAAAAAGATGGAAGGTGCCGAAAAGGCATGTGCATATCTGGTGGTAAATCGGAAATGTGTGGGCCCTACTACTAAGGAGAGTCCTTGAAGAAGAATGTTTGTGTACGGAGTAAGATGATGCTCTTCTAGTAGGTTTGTTGCCACAGGAGGTTGCAATGACAAAGACGCAATCGTCCGTTTGTGTTGGAGAGGCTGACCCAAGGCTGTCCCCAGACTGTCCCAAGGCTGTGGTTGTTCCTGCTTGGCGACCGCTTGGCGGCCTCGGCCTCGGCGTCAGCAAAACAAGCATCGCCAAGACCAGGTGAGCACGGGTATCACCGCAGCTTGGCAGATGCCCAGGATCAGATCAGGGCGTCACCCCGCATTGCGACCTCGCACAACATTCTCACCTCCTGTCATCAAATCGAGAGCAACCCCCAGGGACTTGTCAGCTCGCGTTCGGGCCATGAAACGAACAAAGCCAATGCCCTCTGCAAGTTCCTTCAGATATAGATCGGCAGAGCAAGCAGAGCAGCAATTGGGCCGTTGAGCGTTTCAAGCCCCTGCAAGCGGCTACCTCAGTTGTGATGGAGGGGACCTTGACGGACGTTGCTGCGGGGTATCACGGTACAAGCTCGTCTCTTTGATGAAGGGGAGAAGGGTCTCGAGCAACTTTGCGCTGCCTCAATCGGAAGCTGAGCTGTCGTCCATTGGACTCGCGACCAATGCGATCACGACCAGTGTGATGGGCTTTTTCTTCCGCTTTGGATGTGTGGCAAAGAGAAGATGCACCAGGTCCAACCGATGGAGGGGTAAAAGACGCCCAATTGAGCGAATTGAGAGCGGTTTCGGTGCCACTGAGATGTGAAACGTGCAGTGACCTGTAGAGTGTCGTTATCTAACGAGAACATGCAGCTCGTTTTGGATATGCACAGGACAAGGATGTGGTTGGCGGGGCATGGGGTCAGCTGCGGGCGGCACAATGCACCACCTCAACCTACCATTTCGAAGGCCGCGTATACTGTTTTCGGAGAGGATCTGATATAGCATGGATGATAGCGGCAAAGCGGTAAGACCGGACGACCCTGAGAGCTGATGTCAGCTTCGTTATCGCGTCGTTATCGGTAAGTCCATTGTTTCGGCCGTTTCACACCTGCTCACCGGCGTGTTGCCCGTTGGCTGATGGATATTCCGTCATACGTAAACAGCTGTGCAAAAATGCCGTCACGGCTGGGCCGGTCTAGATCCACAATTGCGTTGCTTTGTATGTCTTTGCTTCAGCTCGACAGGGTGGTGTAGCTGTAAGGAGCATGGTAAGGTGGGGGTAGCTAGTGTGGGAGCTTCATTGGTGTTTGCTCGTACTCGCTCCCGCTCGTTCCGTTGCTGCTCTCCTGTCCCGGTGGTGCAAACGAAAGCTTAGCTCGTCCCAGAAGGCTTGGTTTGTATGGCTGAAGAATCTGCTCCTTGATTGTTAGCGGCGTGGTTTGACCCTGCTCCAGAGGAAGCGGATTCATCTATGGGCAAGCCAACATCCGTGGTCTCAACTGATTCTATCTTTGGAGCAGTGGACGTCTGTGTATACTGTGTAACGGTGAGCAGGGAGATGCATGATGGGATGACGAGAAGGATCGACGGTTCCAACCCGTCCTGTCGATCAGCTCCCTCACTGCCACAAGCAAGATAAAGGGGTCCGAGGAGAGCAAGGGCAGTGCGGTGAAGCGTGTTTGAGGAGGGCACGGAGGGGTAAACAGTCGTGGTGTGTGTGATGGAGGGGTAATAAGTGGCGGGGCAATGTGGGACGGCCTACCCGTCTTGAGTGGTTGTCCGGTCTGCAGTAGCATGATGTTGCTAAATTGAGAGGGGGCGACGCAGTGTTTCAAGCGGAAAGCTTCCAGGTTGACGAGTGACGAGTGAACGTGCAAGGATCAATGGCCGTTGGCGGCAGAGCTCGGTGCTTAATTCACATGAAGCGTGCACAGTTGTATTGTGAAGGGAAGAGGGGAAGTGGTATAAAGCTCCCCATCGCTCCTCCCTTTCGTCATTCTCCTCTCCATACCTATCCTCAAGTCAACAGCCAAACGCACCTTGCTTATACCCAACAAAACAAACACTTCCACATCAATCCTTCCAAATAACTTTCAATCATACAAGATGGGTTTCTTCGACTTCGGTAAGCCTCATTTCCCCCTTCTGCTTCGTTCTGCCCTCATATAAGGGAGGGAGTTTCTTCGATACTATGATATCTTGCCGTAACATCCCAAACGTTCATGGCTGATACAGTAATTGTCTAGGTGAGGCCAAGGACGCTCGCGACCAGGTCTACAACACCGACCAGGTCGGCGAGGAGCACAAGTCCAAGTTCTCGCACGAGCTGATCGGCGGCGCGGCCGCCTTCGAGGCCATGCACCTGTGGGAGAAGGAGCAGCGCAAGGAGGGAAAGACAGTGTCACACGGCTTCGCCAAGGAGGCCATCGCCGCCATCGCTGGCGCTGAGGCTGACAAGTTGATCGAGACCAAGGGTATGGACTTTGTCGACCGCGAGCGTGCCAAGCACCACGCCAAGGAACAGGCGAAGGAGCTGTACGAGCGGCAGTATGGCGGGCAGGACCAGTACAGCACGTGAGTGGCGTCCATATCTGATACTTGCATAAGACATCGTGTGCTAACGTCTCCGTTACAATAGCGACTACCAGCCCCACGAGTCGATGAACTACGGCTACTAAGGTGGCAGCGAGGATTATGACTGAAATGTCATCGGGACTTCATTATCATGCAGGACTGATATGAGAGGGTTGGACCTGAGAATGGGCGATTCTTTCACAAATACACCTATACAACACATGATGTTTTAGGTATATATGACTGGAATGAAATCAATTTTGCGAGGCAATAACCAAAGAAAATTCTATTGGTGGGCAACTCTCGTGGCTCCGCAATCTGCACCTGATAACTATACAGACAGATGACGTGAGTGACTAATGAATCTCCGTATGAACAACAGCATGAACATCTACGAGATATGATCACAAGGTTCTGCGACATTTCGAAGAGACCGCGTTTGATATTTTGACACAAAAGCCTAATCCAGCACGTTAGCAACTGTTTTTCTCAGTGAGGCGAGAAAAGGGAAGAACGTTTGGTGAAAGATCAGACATCCAAGGAAGGTTAGACCCTCATCTGTCCCGATATAGGCTTGAAGGTGGGACTCGAGTGGAAACTGCGAACGTATGGAATGTTTCATCATGGAATCGGGGAATGGGAGAGAGGAAAAAGTTGGACTGACCTGATCTGGCAATGCTGTAGGAGCAAGGTTAGCTGTCACACCTGATTCGCGACTCTTCGCTGTCGCTGGCGGCATAATGCTCAACTGTCAGTCTGTAAACCCAAAGTTACACCCGCTTTTCAAGCGTAATAGCTCAAGTTTGCAGATTGACAGTTGCCGAATGTGCAGCAGCTCAATCCTCAATCCCACGGAGTGGGCGAGAGCTTGTCATCTTAACGAGCGTCCCCAGAGCTTTGGAAGCTGTGAGGAAAAGTTTTGGTAGAAATTTGGAAGAGCTCTGTTCTGCCTTTTTAAGTTGCGTCCTTAGTTGGGCGGTGAGTTGGTGGCATATGCCAGTGCCCCACCTGTTAGTGTTAGTCCCTTCACTCCCTTGCAAGTTGCTGCCCCTCCAACAAGCTCCATTCACTGTCAGGTCCAGTCCCCGCCAGAATTTTTCCACGCGACTTGACTGTCTATCCATTGGATTTCGCGAAGCAGTTTTGCTAATTATCACACCAATTATCTGCGGTGCTTTATCGTTAATCGTTTAATGCGCATCACCTATTCAAGCATTGTCACGCATGAACATGCCCACCATGGTGCCCGTTCTGAGACATAACATCTCCCCATTTCTCGACCCCGGCTCACGGACGAAAGCCAACTCCCTAGCTATCGTCCAGCTATCTCGCGACAATCTGGTACCCGTCTACCTCCAACGCCCCACCGGCGAACACGACGGCTACAAAGAAGGCGCAGTGGTCAACACCAAGTATGGCTCGTACCCGCACAGTACTATGCTCGACGTCCCCTGGGGCTCGCAGATCCGCGCGTCCAAGGTAGATACCGGCTCCCGCGGGCGCAAGAGGAAGAGGCCCGATGGCGAGGACGCTGGACGCCCCGCCACAGATAACAACAACAACAACAACAACAACAACACTGAGGAAAAGACGGTTGAAACCCCCAAGGAAGAGTCCGAACCCACCAACGGCGCAGCAGCCGTAGCTAAACCTGCCGTGGATGATAATAGTGGCTTCATCCACATCCTCCCGCCGACACCAGAGATATGGACTATGAGTCTGCCTCACCGGACCCAGGTCGTGTATACACCGGATTACTCCTACATTCTACACCGGATCCGAGCGCGTCCGGGGTCAGTTTTGATAGAGGCCGGCGCAGGAAGCGGAAGCTTCTCCCATGCCAGTGCACGAGCAGTCTTCAACGGCTACCCAACACCCGAGTACACCAAACGGAAGGGCAAGGTCTACAGCTTTGAATACCATGAGCAACGGTATCACAAGATGAAGTCCGAGCTCGAGGAGCACGGTTTGGAGGGTATTGTGCAGCTGACACACCGAGACGTGTACAAGGACGGGTTCAACA